CAGGCGCTCTACCACTTGAGCTATTCTACCAACCTACTAGGTAGGTTTTGAAGATAACTTTGGATAAAGTGTCATGTTTATGAAATTGATTCTTTCCATGTGACTAGCATAGTTACTCTGATTTATGTTTGACCTGAGGAGCAGATCATGTAGTCTGTGGAAATACTGTCCTGGCTAAACCCAGGGTGTTGTCCCATGATGTCAAGAGGAAGTAATATCCACAACAGGCAAGCAGCATGGGTGTGGTTGCTGACATTCTAAGAACACTTGGCTGTTCCAATTGTTGTTTTTGACCTTTGTGTTCTCTGTGATGTTTTTCTGCTGTGTTTTTCCAGGCTCTCATTTTACAATGCAATTTGTAGGGGGGAAAAAAAAAGAAAGAAACAACTAGCCAAAGGCAACATTTTCTCTGGAACTGGAGTTGGCAGGCCCCTGTAGCTCCGGGGCAGTCTCCCATCTCTTCCTGGGTGCTCTGATAGAGCACTTACAGCTGTTTTAGTGGAAACACCCAGCTTTACACATATTTGCTCCACAAAGAAATAAGTTTGTAAGTTATATGTCTACATCAAAGCCCTGTAACAAAATGATTATTATTTTATTATTGTTGTACTGGGGTACACTGTGACATTTACAAAAGTTCTTACAATATATCATAGCTGAATTCACCCCTCCATCATTCCCCTTTATCCTCCCTTCCTCCCATTCCTGGAATAGTTTCAACAGGTCTCATTTTTCCATTTTCATACATGAGTACACAATATTTCCATCACATTCACCCTCTCATACTCTTTCCTTGTATCACAATGATTAGTTTTTAAAAAAAATCTCCCTTTTCACTCAGGATTCGAATGCCTGCATTTCACATTTCTTCTCCACACCTCTTATTTGCAGACTTGAGAAATAACAAAATAATAAAAATATCCAGCTGAGCACCAGTGGCTTATGCCTGTAACTCTAGCTACTTGGGAGGCTGAGATCAAGAGGATCAGAGTTTCAGGCCAGCCCAGGGAAACAGATGGAGAGAACCCCATCTCCAAAATAACCAGAGCAAAATGGACTGGATGTGTGGCTCAAGTGGTAGAGCTTCTCCTTTGCAGGTGCAAAGCCCCCAACCCCAGGTCCATCAAAATAAATAAATAAATAAATAAATCCATTTTTGTTAGGTGTATTTCCCAGTTTTTAGAACATCAGTTTGTTTTGTTGGCATCACTGGTCAGCAAAACCATGTCCAAACACCTGGTGAGAAAACTTTTTTTTTTTTGAAGTTAGTAGTGTTCAGCCCGAGACTGACAAAAAAGGAAAGTGAGAAGATGTTGTGACTCTCCTCAATTCGGAACCCCGTTCCCTGCTTTGACACAAGATTTTATGCTGCCACATGTAGATTTCCATGTGTACAGAGTCTGTGTGTTAAACACAGACATGCTAAGCTCCTTGCATCTACTCCAGTCCTCTCACTGGCTGCTCAGGTAGGCAGTATTATTATTGCATCTCCCACACTAGAGACGAGGAAGCTGACGTGCAGAGGGATTCTAATGCAACAGACTTAGCAAGGAGTCGATCATGGCTGAGAAATGGTCAGAATCATTCCTTAGCATTAATATCAGATGCCAGGCCCAAACAGTTCTATAGGATACGTGAAACCTCAGGACTAAGCAAAATGACTGATGTTTCGCAATCACATTGTTCAAGCGAACTACAGCTATGTGTGCAGACAAGTGGCTGTGCTTACGTGTTTCTGGTCTCTTCCCAGTGACGATGGTAGAACTGATACAGTAGTTTCAAAAGAGACTGTATAGCCCACAAATCCTGAAATATCTACTATCTGGTCTTCCCAGAAGAATTTGTCAGAATGTGGTTCACAGTCTTTGCCCTCAGAGGTCTGCTGATCCCTATGGCTCAGCAATTCAGAGGAGAGGAGAGAGAAAGGTGCTTACAGAGTGGGAGAACGACCTAGGCTACACATTGTGTTTTCCTGTGTGGTCCATGGATCACAGAAATAGTTCAGGAATGGGATTCAGAGACTCCGAACTGCACACAAAAGAAAATACATGAGTCTGTACTATTTGTAGATTTACTTCGTATGGTTTGACCGAGCACAGTCAAAAAATAAAGAATTAAAATAACCAAAAAAAAAATTAAAAACAAACACAAAAATTAACTCCCTTGTGGCATTCTGCAGGAAGAAGCTCTCTGTCACTCCTGTGTTATCATCAGCTGTATTTAAATCAGATGATTTGCTGAGCATTTCTGTGTCCTTCTTTTTGTGAAAATACAGTTTGCCTCCCAAAAAGCAAATGGTGCCCTAAAAGCAAGTTAAAGTGAAGGTACTTAACTGAGGGGATCAGGTGAAGATCTGAGGTCTGTTGAAGGGCCAGGTGTCATTGCGGGGGTGGGTAGCATTACCGCAAAAATGAATCCACCATCTGCAGGACCATCTATGTGTCCTGAGCATTCACGGGTTTCCTCCAGGGTGGGCTCCTGGGAACCATATGCCTGCTGATATCGAGGTCTACCGTATGTCTCTGTCTTTCCAGGTAATTTGAACGTGGGGGTAAATCTAATCAAGTTACAATAATATGGTAGTATTTATTCTCAACAGATCAAATAAAAGGTTCTGGGCTGTTACTAGGCCCAACCTTAGCTATGCAGTTATCCTGTTACCAAGTTACGACATAGAACAGTTTCTTTTCTTTCTTTCTTTTTTTTTTTTTCTTTTGCAGTACTAGGGCTTGAACTCAGGGCCTACACCTTGAGCCACTCCACCAGCCTTTTTTTGTGTGTGATAGAGTCTTTCAAGGCAGGGTCTTGTAAAATATTTGTCTGGGCTGGCTTTGAACTGTGATCCTCCTGATCTCTGCCTCCTCAGTAGTTAGGATTACAGCCACTGGTGCCCAGCCCATAGAATAGTTTCTTTTGAGAAGAATTAAAGAAAATATTCCTTCCAGCCATGAGTATGAATCCCTCTGGGTCTCTGAAACACACATGCACACACGTTTATGTGTGTATGTGTCTATATGAGACCTACCTTAGGATGGAAAACAGTAATAAAAAGGTGTGGCTTTTACACCAGATTTAAGTTCAAATCCTGATTCTTTCTCTGAACGGTTATGTTAGCTTGGACTACTTCCCCTCTGCAAGCCTCTGATGAGACACAAGTGCTGGTTTGGGTGTAAGGTTCTTGCCAATAGAAGAGAAAAACTGTGAGAGGACACTGCCATTCATATCTCCTAAAAATATATCACACAGTGGGATCTTCTATGTGGGAGGAGGCCTCAGATGGAAGATGGGACCTTGGCCAACATTTCTACTTTCTCTAACACAAAGGTTTGTCTTAAGGTATCCTGAAAAGATTGCCCACAACATTGCTAAGCAAAACCATCCCACATAATTAGCAGGGCCATATGTCCTAAGAAAGGATGAAGGGTTTGTTGTCTGAATACAGGAGAAAAAGGAATTAGGGCCTCTGCCAAGGACATCATGAACCTTGAGCTCTTGCAAATGTTTCTCTTCAAGTCTGGGTTTTTTTTTTTTTTATGGTACTAGGGATTGAACCAAGGGCTAAGCAAGTACTCTACCACTTGAGCCACACCCCTAGCACTTTTGTTTTTAAGATAGGGTCTTCCTAACTTTGCCTGAACTGGCCTCAAACTTGTGATCCCCCTGCCTCTGCCTCCACCTCCCAGTAGATGGGATTATAGGAATGTACCTCCATTCTTGGCTTTTCTCATCCTTAACACTCATGTCAGACCTATAATAACAGAATGGTCCTTTTGAGCCTAAGTTAAATTTAGTTACCTACCTGCACATATATACTGTTTTATGTCTAGCAATGCATTATATTGGAATATACTCATGTGTTTCACTCACATGCATGCTTCTGGCTCCTCTGTGAGGGACAGTCTCAGTCTCTCTCTCTCTCTCTCTCTCTCTCTCCCCCCCCCTTGCCTCTCTCTCCTTTCTCCTCCCTTAGAACACAGTGCACAGTAATAATTTGTAAACCTTCTTATTTAGTTTTTACCATATGCCAAAACTACCTAATGCATGTTTCATCTTTCACAAAATATTTTAGTCTTACACTATAACCTGAGAATAAACACTGTTATTCTAAATTTGAAATGAAGACACTAAAGCACAGAGTGGTAAGTAACTTGCTCAAGATCATACAACTATTAAACAGCTGAACTTGGAATAGAGTCAGAAAGTACATCTCTACACCCCACACTCAACCCCTAACCACCCTGCCTCACAGATTACAGTAAATGTTCGTTCAACTGATCTCAACGGTGCTCCTCACAGATGAAGCCACGAAAACATTTGGCCTTGAAGGAAAAAGAATATTCTTACTTTATGCCAGATTTGTGGTGGTAAATTGACATGCTGCTGTCATTATTAATTTTTGAGGGGGTGGTACTAGGGATCAAATCCAAGCCCTCCTAGATACTGAGCTGCATCCCTAGTCCAGTGACGTGGTTATATTCAGAAAAAGTTTCTGCACCACAGAAATGGGCTTCCAGGAAATGAAAAGGTCTTTTATTCCCTCATTCAAAATTACGATTCAAAATGAAGCAATTAGATCACAGGCCATCACTTACCCTGCTGGAATGCACTAAGGAAATGTACCACCTTTCTCTTCCTTTTGCCATGAGCTCACCTTTCCCATTCACCTAAATTAGGTTTATCTGTTTCATTTCGCTTATGGCTAATTTTATAGCTCCACTCATCAAAAGGGCTGTTTCCATCTGAATTCACAGACCCAAAAACCTTCCTGCGAGTCTTGCTTTCATAAATTCACGTAGAATGAGCTCACATTAAATTTTATATGTCATTTGAAAAATCTAAAATTAACCCCCCCCCAAAAAAATTATATCTTCCATTAAAACTTACTGAAAGTAATTTTCTGGATTAATAAATACTACAAGACCCATATTACCTCATTTGGGAACAAATTTGTAAGCAAAGAAATCAATGGAAGAAATAGATTTTTACCTGTCTAATCATACCTGAATAGGGACTCTCGTGACAGCCAGATTTCATTCTGCTTCACAGTTTTCCAAGAGAAAAGCAGCAGCAGCAGCATGGTGGACACCGTCAGGGTGGTAGCCCCACACCGGTTTAGCCAAGTACAGAGCTTGCTCAGTCCATGCACAAAAAGGATACAGTAGCCCATGCTGTAAAACAGGGCAGGAGGGGCAGGTTACTGGGGTGCATGGATCCCCCGAGCCTTCCACCCATAGAGCTGTCAGATAGAGCTCACCCCAGCTAGAGGCACAAATAGGAATGCCATGTCATGGATGACCCAAGTGTTAGCTCTTACCTAAAGCACTACACCAGCAAGTTCGCTAGGTCTCCGGTTTTAGTGAGGAGAATAAAAGTGCCCTAGATTTCAGCAACTCAGGTGTGAGAAGTCCCACATGTATGGTCCTGGGTCCTGAATCGATCCTGTGACTCAGGCTTCTTCGAGTCACTGTCACCCAAGAACCATTTTGGCACCGTATATCCAAACGTGGAGTATCACAGCTATGAAGAGTATAGAATCTGAGAGCTTCCTGTCAGGTTGGAGGAGGGATGCTGGTTACCAAGGAGCACCAATCTCTGTTTCCAGAGATGCCACCTGGTACATCTACCACTCTGGCAGCAAAGTCCTGTCACTTCTGAAACCCACTCACAGGGCAACCCTGAGCCGAAAAGTTTACACTTCATCCAGACCAGCTGTATCCATGGGCTTCTCTTGCCGGCTCTGGCCCAGCCTTTCCAACAGGTGCAAAGAGTTCATGTGTAATCTGAGTGGGATTTTGGCATATCACTATCACATTTTGGCTTAGTGTAACATGGTCCCTTAGATCATCTATGCATCACAGAGATGTCTCCTGCCTGCCAGCTAGACTCAGAAGAACATCAGCTTTCAGTTTGTACCCATTATTGCTGTGTGTGTTTAATGAAAATATACTTCTTTCCAAAGATAACTACTAATTGCAGAACATCTTAAGAATGAAGCAAGCTTGAATAAAGAAAGCTTGCCCACATAAGTCAGAAACTTAATACACTCAGAAGCCCAACATATACTTGTTCAATTCTTAATTTATTATTTCTCTAATGTGATCAGAAAAATTCTAGGGACTAAAAATACAATGAAGAATAAAACAGGGGCCTGCTCTCAAAGAACTGCAGTCTAGCAAATCAAGTTGCTCTAAATGTTCTCATTCCTAAACACACCTCTTTTGAAAAAATGCCCCTCCACCTTCTATCCTCTTTTCTAAATGCCTGTGCTTCTCCATCAAGAATAGAAAAACAAGAGTGATGTTTGAGGCTTCTGACTTGCAGACCCTGGGGACAGAGCCATCTTCTTACCCCAAATTTCATAAATCCACTTCCTAAAGCGTTAGACTTCACTATTTGATAAAGGGAGTCCCCATCCCCCACCCAAGCACTGAATGCAACTGCCACAGGAACCTTCCATATGTCAGAACAAAAACAAACAACACACAAACAAATTCAAACTTCTTCCAACTTTTACAACTCTCATATAAACCTTAAGGTTGTGAAGATTTTCTACAAATCTTTTGTTACCACACAAGTGACCATGCTAACATTATTACTTTGCCTGAACATAATGCCTGCTCAAGTTCATGAGGTTGCTTGGATCTGTGCCTCTAGCCCCAGCCAGATCCCCACCCTAACTAAGCAGGATGCTTCCACAGCCATATGAAAGTCTTCTGAGCACCTCACTTTCATTCACCAGGTATTTAATAAATTCTATGTACCTAATACTATTACATATATTAAGAACTTAAAATAAAACAAGAGTAAAATTTTTATCTTTATGGGCTATACCTTGATGGGTAGAAGAGTTAATAAGTAGATAAAGCATAGAGCATGCATGCAATGCTTTGTTATATGGAGAAGTAAATCAAGGAAGGAGGAGGGTGAGATTTTAGTGTGGCTAGTCAAAGGCGGCCTTGCTGACATTTGGAGCAAAGACCTGAAATGACATGCAGATTGCATCTCCAACGCCAGCTCTCTCTTCCTGTTCTTGCTACAGAAAGCTGCATTAGTAAGAGTTAACATTTATGGAGCCAATCTTTTCTATACCAAGCATTTTCTATATCTGATGTTAGTACATCCTCACAACCCTATGGCTTATAATAACGTTTAATCTGAGAAGACACTAAAGAAGAAAATGGTTAGCTGACTGACTGAATTAAGTCATGCATCTAGTAAAAAGTGGAAAAAAGATATAAAAACAGGAATTTCAGAATCCAAGGCTAAGCTCCATATGCTGTCCTCCAAAGGGACTAGACAGCAGAATCCCTGTGTTCCTCCAATCTCATCACATAGCATTGCCTATTTTCTTCACAAACACTCCATACAAGCAATCTCACTAGTTCCTTGTATGAATCAGAGCTGTCTCCTAATAGAATAGTAGGGAAGGAAGACAATGGGATCCCAACAACCCAAGGGCAATGGCCAAAAAGGGACAGAAGACAAGAACAAAGAATATATGACACATAATTAGTTGTCTGTATGTTTATCAAGAACTTCCCATGTTCCAGGTACTGTGCTAAATGCTTATATGATACCTGTTCACAATATTTGTAGGGCCTGGTACAATGACAGTACTTCACATATATTATCTAATCTGAACATTTCATCCTCAATATCTTCCATCTCATAAATGAGGGAACTAAAACTTAGAGGATTTAAAGAACTTGTCCACTGCCCCCAAAGCCAGTATAAGCCAGATCTATAGACTTAATCATCTAGAGGTCTGCAAATGCCTTCTGTAAAAGGCCAGGGAGTAAATATTTCAGGCTTTTTAGGTATTGGAGCTTACAAAAAATAATACCCTCAAAGTATAGTGCTTTCATAGATGCTTTCAAGGTGCTTTTATAAGTTGAACTGAAGAAGCAGCTTCAAGGTCTCTATGACCTTCCCTGGCTCCCTGTCTGGAAGTCCTATTTTCTTTCCCCAAAAGCAAGGAAAGGCTTTCTCTGAAGTTCCCTTATCTACCTAAAGACTGTATCTACCAAAAAGAAGGCAATTACCTTTAATCTTACAAAAAGTTCATTAACAAGGACTTAAACTCGTATCATGAAGGAAGAGACTGAAAATCAAGCACTACACCAGAGCCTAGAGAACTTTGTGCCAGCCATTGCCTGCTCTTGGGGACTAACTCCTCTCCCCTAAAAGTCACTTACTCCCCCACCCCCAAACTGCTTTCATCCCCATTTCCCTTTTCCCTAAGAAGAGGTATTGGAAGCTTTAACCACCTGTCTTTCTGAGTTGTAGATTCTATGTGGTTCCTGTGCTCATGTGCATAGGAACATTTTCTCATATTATGAGAATGCCTTTTCTCATATTAAGCTGCTTATTGTCAGCTCATTTCAGCAGACAAAACTATTACAACCTTCAGGAGGCACAGGGAAAGTTCCTATCAGCCCTGCATAGGCTATGAAGCCATTGTCACTTCTCCTCCACTTGTCTTTGTTGTAGGAAAGCAGCCACATACACTGTGGAAGTAAATGAGTGTATGTCCCAATAAAAGATAATCAGGTAGTGGACCAGATCTGACTCCGGGGCTACACATTGCTTGTTCACTTTCATTTTTTACACAAAAATGAAAGAGAATTATTTATTTCCATTCAACGTAAGCATCTGTGTCAAGTAACATGATAAGTCTTTTCAAAAGGCCATATAGTGACATGTGGTTTAAAGAAATGTTAAGCCATATAAAATAATTTCTATGTAGGTTTGCAAATTTCTTAGAAAGTATCACATTCTTTAAAGCCTGACACAAATGTCACAGAGAGCAAGATACTTCTCCATTATGAAACTTCTCTTTCAACATGTGCTTGAATGAGGTTCTCAGCAGCAAAAGAGGGAGACACGCTCTCTGTCTCTAGCACCAGGGGCAGGCGAAGGCCTCATACTAGAAGCACAAAATGAAGCTACATGCTTCTGGGGCCTCCAGGAGATGAGACCAGAGTCCAGCTTGCTCAGGCTACTCTGGTTAAGAAAACTGTGGGCTGCTGACCAGAGACCTCCACACAGAGCACACAGGAGCCATTGCAAACTATTGACACAGGACAAAATTATACCCTGCAGAACCCAAAGCAATAGTTTAGCTCAGATGCATTTTCAGAGGAAACTCGAGCAGCACCATGGCTTTGCACACAGACAGCATCCCTCACGTGCAAGCCAATAGCATCTCCCATGCAGAAAATGGCTTCATTGACAAGCTGCTCCACGTGCAGTGCTTAAATAACTAGACACTTGCATCTCTCCCTCAGAGAACTTAACAGAAACTGCAAACCAATAATGTTCTTCCTTCTGCACTAGAATCACAAATGCTTTAAATCTGCTTGAGAATTTTGTAGGCAGCTCATCTTTGTATCCAAATACACCAAGTACAAATACGCCTCCAAGCGTTGCCCTGAAGTTTGTAGGTGACAAAAGAACAGCACTTCAGTTCTTATTTACATTAATCTGAAAAGATAAGAACTTTCTACCTCTGGTCCAAGCATTTTATGATGTTTGCCACAGCTTTCCTATTTAATTACTGCAACAAAGAATATCTTTTTGCTAGTAAGTAGAACCAAAATTCTACCTTTTAATTTGTTAACAAAACAACCCATGAGAATACCTATAAATAAAATTAGTATTATAAGACAGACACACAATCTTAACATTTTATTCCATGAAAGAAGTCTGAGAATCTAAATGAAGTCTATCCCTAATTGACTTCATTTCAGTCTGATGAATCGCATTTCACAAGTTATCTGATGGTACAGTCTTATTCCAGTCCCACAGATTTTGGCCTCAAGTGGTTAAACAGTAGAGCCCCAGGACACCAAGCTGAGGACAGGTGGATGGATGATACTGGCACACAGGAAGTGCCAGGAAGCCAGTGGCAACAACTCAGACATGACTTGACCTGGAAGCTGCTGGCCACTGTGAGCTAGACTCTTGTTTGGTTTTGGCGGCACTGGGGTTTGAACTCATAGTACCACCCTTGCTAGGCAGGCACTCTACCACTTGAGTCATTCTGCCAGCGAGCTGAACTCTGTAAGTGTTCCCATTTCTGCCCTGTTCTTTCTTCATTTCAAACATTTGATAGATGGAGAAATTAGCCAGAAGATTGAATGTGTTTGGAAAAGAGAGCTTATATTCC